AAGCAACAATATCGGAACCCTTCATCTTCAGATTCGAGAGATCTTGCTCCATTTTTTGCATCTCACCACGAGGGCAGTATTCAGCCAGCATCAACTCTTTCAGGTAATCCCAACCCATGACATTGGATACCGGAAGAGTTAGGGATTTGACTTGGCTATTCCACTAAGTTAATGCTCTATCTGTGATGGTACACGCTGCAAATTTTACTTTGCTCATCTCGGGGCACACATAGATCTCAAAGATTGATTCGGTCTTCTCGAACCAGTAATTCAGGGCAATGACACCTCCAGTGCCATCAATAGACTGAGGTTTAGCATTAGTGAAGTCATTGTAGGAACACTCTCTTGGGTGTCCTTGACTATCTCCCTGATTGGAAGGGTTGACACCACTGCCCACCCCGCTTGTGCCACTTGCGTTAATTTGTGACATTGCGGCAGCCATAGTGGCTGTAACTGCTGCATGGAACACAGTAGGATCGTACTGAGGAGGTGGAGGCGGTGATGGATTGTTATTCTTTTGGATGGACTTCTTCTTTGGATGCATCTTTCTCTAAAATAATTTAAGAGAAAAACGAAGATAGGTCCTCTATAGTGGTCAGGAGTCAGGTGATATTGAACAATATATATCTTATCCTGACAGTTATAGTGTTCTATCAAGCAATTTACAATGGAAGTCTACTTAACACAAGTAAACAATCGCTATGAATTTATAGCAACACTTGGAATGAAGTCTGTACAATGGGTTGGCTCTAGTATTGTAGTGCTACCAAATACTTCTATAGTATTTTAGTTTGTATGCTTTGTTCTGTTGTTCCCTTTTGTATGGAATTTGGTAAGTTTTAGACTTGTTGCAACACCACTATCACTCCCAAGCACATGTTGGTCGTATCTAAAATAAATATAGTTGATCAGGCTATATTTATATCGGATTTGATTACATAACTGCCCAGGTTTGACCATAGTGTTCAACACCTAAATACTTTTGTTTTGTTCTTATTGTGATACTGCTTCTAGTATATATGTAGTGTTAGTATACTTCTTATAAAATACTTAGATTTTAAAAGTATACTTTTAGTGGAGGATGTCATGTACAATATCATAACAATTACATCATAGTAATCAAAGTAAACACAACCATTACATTGATTAATTAAAGTATTTACATCTGTTCGATACATAATTTGTATGACAACAAAATATATAACAAAAGTATAAATGACGCAACTCTAGAAGCTCCATCTTCTCAAAAACCTGCGGGTGTACCTATCTACCGGTTCCCTAAGAATACAAGTGGTTTTGAAAGTGTATCAACATTTAAGTTGGGGAGCTCATAAGAATGTTTTTGTAATGAAAACCTGTCATTGAATCTGTGAAAATGTTTGTATGTTTCCCAAGAAAATAAAATATTTTCTTTAGTAATGTAAATAAGTCTTAAACCCTAAGACCCAAGATGTATGTTCGTTATTGTATTTGGTAATTGTGTATGAAAGTATTGGTTTGTATGCCTGGTTACCACCAGCTGTATTGTATTTGATTGTATTGTTTTGTATGAAAACTCTTGTATGAAATCCCTGGATACCACCAATAGTTATGTATAGTAATGTACTTTATGAAAACCCTGACTACCACCAATAATGTATACTATAGTTCTGTATGAAAAACATTGGCTACCACCAGTATGTATAGTATGTACTATTTGAAAATCCTGGCTACCACTAGTATGTATAGTATGTTCTGTATGAAAACTCTGGCTACCACCAGTATGTATAGTATGTTCTATATGAAAACCCTAGCTACCACCAGTATGTATAGTGTGTTATGTATGAAAACCCTGGCTACCACCAGTATGTATAGTAGTTTATTACTTAAAATAAAACCGTGTGTTTTTATTCCATGGAATCCTCCAGTTGTAGTGTATGATAGTTCTATTAATTACAATAAAACTATTTCAAGGATTGAAATCCCGTAAACAAAGGTTAGTTTATACTGTTGTGAGTTTGGTATAACCATGCTTGATATGATCTAGTGACCTCTACGACGTTCTTCAGGCGTCGAAACGGTATGATATTTGTCACCCCAGGCATGCCTACCTAACTGTAGCTAGCAGTTCAGGTGTGGAATTGTTAGTCCCGTATAGACCTATACACAAATCTCACGCTCTCCCTCCAGGAGACTCTGGATATACTACGGTTGGATTTAGTTCCGCACCTCGGAGGGTACAATTGAAGTAGTGTCTCACAACCCTGTATTAACTAGTTTACGTGTAATGTTGTAGTGTTCCCTTTTACTCGAAATCGTATGTAGAACTTGTAGAGTAAAATAATTATACTTAAATAATTATTTAGTATTGTACTCTTGTATTTGGAAAACAGTATTTTAAATCATAAACTATATCTACCATAGTCTATATGTGTTCATTTCTGTATAATGTTCTCGAAGTAGTAAAACAGTGTATTGTATCCCAAACTATAACTATTATAGATTGAATGTATGTTCTTGTCTCTTGTAATGAATTCTGTAAAAGTTCTGTATTGTTCCCAAACTATATCGCCTATAGTTGGATTATGTGTTATGTGTTGTACTGAAAACTTTGCAATTATAGTTGTATGTTGAAAACTGTCCTTATGCAAAACATGTTACAAAAGGGATAAAAATATCTAAATATTTTTATAAACTGTAGTTGTTTCTCAATTGAGAAAGTTTTTAATTTGTTGAAATCATTTGTATGAAAACACAACCTCCTAAAACATTAAAACAATAAAAATGTAGGGATATGAACTCACAGTTTTTTGTGCACGTGTTGGACAACAAGACTGGAAAGATGACCCTCGAGTTGATGTACGCGGGATTAACGAAAACCTAATGATGATTAAACACACACTTGTATTTAAATTAGCGAAACCATTAATTTAAGTGTTAGAAAGCACTTGTTTTTGTGTTAGGAATAGTTACTGAGATTGTTTGTAGTGAAAGGGTGGGTTTTTGGTCAAATCTAAGTCCGAAAACTAGATTCTTGGTCTTGTGTAGTTTTCAGTCGGAAACTGGTTTTCGGCCGAAATCAGGTGTTCAGTTCTTCTAGTTTTTTCGATCCTTTGAAGACATGAAGGCTGTTCTTGGTGTTCTTGAGAAAAAATATGAATATTTGAAGGTTTCCTTTTGAAGATCTAAGTAGGCCTGGCAACTGGATTGAGATACGGGTTGGCGGGTTAGAAAACATAAACTCAACCCAACCCATATAATATATAGGTTGGTAGGTTGGCGGGTCATGAGTTGGTGGGTTGGAAACTTCAACCCAACCCAACCCATATAACCTGTTTAAGTATATGAGTTCGCAGGTTCGCAAGTTAGTGGGTCGAACCCAATCCATGTAACCCGTTTAAAAAAAATAAGCAATGTATTTTAAAAAATGAGGTTTTTTCAATATAAAGTCACAAAGTGATTAAGTAATTAACATAAAAAATAGGTTTTCAACATAAATTCATAAAGTCTTTAACATCCAAATAAAAGTGAAAAATTAAAACGTTTATACAAAGTGGATGCATTCTTCGTTCGTGACTCGTGAGTATCTGAAAATGACATGTGTTTTTCTTTTTTGATTAGGACACCGCAAACGCAGACTAACCACATACGAATATGGAAGGAGATTTCCCTAATATTTAAATATATCTATTTTATAAATGTAATATATATATATATATATATATATATATATATGTGTGTGTGTGTGTGTGTGTGTGTGTTCGCAGGTTGATCATCTAAGTGTTCTTGGATGATCATTGGGAGAGATTTAGGAGTGTTTTCGAGTGAAAAGTGGGAAAATGACTAAGTTTTCGGATGAACTGAATTATACGGTTGGGTTTTTGGCCGGAGATGGGTTCTCGGCCGAAATCAGTTTTTGGCCTGAAGGTTTTCAGCCGAAAACGAAGTGCTGAACGATTTTTGCTGTTTTTCGGGGGAAAAACTTGATTTCTCGAGTGTTTTTGGTTCCGAAACTTATATAAATTTTATTTATATAATTTAAATGTTTTTCTAACCCTCACAAACTTAATGGAATATATAAAATTCGAAATTTTATTTAACGAAATTGAATTTTGTTGACTGGTAAAGCATCGGGTTGTCACTAATAAACTCATAAATAAAATACATAAACTTACTAGTTGATTAATAAAAAATGATTAAATTTAAAGATCTTGAAAATCAGTTGGATATTTTGTTTTTTCTTGAAGCATCCACTCGTAATTGTTTTGTATGATTTTTAGAACATTTTCCATTTTAACCTCTTATTTATTGGCGAACTCTATTGCATCTCGTACCCAAACCCTTGCAAATTTTATGTCGTGTTCTTTATCTTGAACCGAGCTCATATTAGACCAAATATCCTCTTGTAAGTCATCCAACCGTTTTCTATCTTCTTCAATGCCTTTTAATCTCGCTCTTGATCTCTTCTTCTTTTATTAATAGTTGCAATTGCTTCTCTTGTAGCATTAACCACCATTTTTCTTGAGAGGTAGATATGATTGTATGTGTATTATGGCTATAGAATAACGAGTAGTATACAATTTGTAAATCTCAGACCCATACACATAAGTCTCTATATATAATTGACTTTATATCTACTTTTTATACGCTTTGACTACTATAAAATAGCCTTTGACTACTATATTATGTGTTGTCATATAGTACTGTGATTTGCCAAGACATTATTCTAATTTTACTATATTTGTATATGATTTGACTAATGTCTACTAGACATTGACTACTGATTCATGTGTAGTCTTATCGTACAATGAATTTCAAACACATGATTGTAATTTGACTTCTTTTTATAGGTTTTGACTACTATCTACTAGCATTTGACTACTACTTTATGCGATTGACTACTTGATTTATAGGTTTTGACTCCTATCTTCTAGCCGTTGACTATTATCTAGTGTCGTATAATGTAAAAGTTTTTTCAATTCATAAATCAACGAAACAATAAAAAAAATTGGAGTGTGAAAATGACAGAAAGATCAGAGAAGTTGAAAAAGATATTGGCAAAATTTAATTGGTCATCTACATCCACCAATAAGCCATCTACATCCAATGGGGAGAAGATGGACAAGGAAATGAAAAAGGTTTTGTTACAAAGAGAAGCTGATGTGGATAAGGCTTATAAGGATTTTGCTTTCCAACGAAAACTTCTAGACAATTATTGGGACGACATTGACCGTAAAAACAATTGGATCATAACTACTAGGCAAGAAATCCAATATACCGAGAGTTCGATCCGCTCTGGTGAAGAAATTGTTCGAAAGCTAAAGAATGAATTAGCACTTCATGAGTATAATTTGGAGAAAACAAAAAAGGAAGTCAATGCTATGAAAAAAGAGTATCCATACGAGTTTTCGATGTGGGAAGAAGATGAGTAATATTTTAATAATGTGCTTGTTTGTTTAAGCAATATTTAGGTAATGTATATCTATTTATGTCTTTTATTAGTAATTTTAAGGTAATAGACCTCTGATCTCTATGTATGTTTTTTATTAGTGGTTGAATTGTTGAATTAATTTATATTAGTATCACTGTCTTATAGTATTGTGACACTTTATCCATAAGATGCAGTATTTTTATTTATTTCGAACAATAGTTGATTTACGTCGAACAATAAAGTAGATACCTTTCATATGTTTTTGTGTAAGATTTCATAGAACAGCATGTACTATATGACACCTAATAGATTCTATACTTGTCTATATAAGAATTCAGTAATATGACATTAGTTTGTATCATAAAAGATGTAGCCTATTGTACCACCAACATGGAACACCCAAGAAGAAGGAATTTTGATACGTGCTTGGATTACCATCATAGAAGAAGCTTATCCACATAGTCCCCCATAATGTCGTATTGTTTCTTTTTGGAGCCGCGTCTTTCACTCGTTTCATTAGGAGATGGGTCGAGGTTATTACCGCACAAAAAAAGATGTAAAATTAAAAATGTTACAAGTGAAACGACATGTGAAGCACTTTCATAGAATGCATAGCGAGATCGAAAATGCACGCCCGAATGAGGATGAAAAAAGAATTTTACTGGCGGCTATGGAGTTATTTCGTTTGGAATCTAACGGTAGAGAGTTTGTCCACGTTGATTCTTGGAATGTTATGAAGAAGCTACCTTATTTTTGGCATCTAACGGTAGAGAGTCTGTGTTATAGGCATTGACTAATGTCTACTAGCATTTGACTACTACTTTATTCTTTTTAATAGCTTTGGAAGTGATTTAGATCATCCTTATCGCTAAATTACTGTTTAACTCGTCAACATTAAAGATGAGTTTCTCATATAATGACCATGAAGAAAGCTTTACCAACTTGCATGTTTACCTCCACAACATTCAGCGTACAAATCCCCATAGTTACACTTACATCAAAACCGATGTTTTGGATCGGTTCCAACTATGTTTTGTCACTATTCGATATGTGGTAATGTACTTTCGATCTGTTTATTTTTTGTGCTAAAAAGATTTATATTAGTTTAAAAACTAATTATTGTGCAATACAAAATATGAAATAGATCAACACATTCTTAGGATGCATGCTTCCCAATCATCTTCATAGGCAATGTTCGTATTCGAGGAGAGTATCTTAATTCAATGTTCGTAGCAGTTGCTATGGATGGAAACAACACTACGCCAATAGCATTTGGTATCGGGGTGGCAAATAATGTTAACTCCTGCACTTGGTTCCTTATGAGGTTGAAGGATGCTATCGGAGTGGGTAGAGAAGTTGCGTTTATTAGTAATTCTATGTTTATTTGTAATTCTAATTTCCTTTCAGTTTTTATGTTATGTTTATTAGTAATGTTACGTTTATCGTAAGCTAAAAATGACAACTTATGTTATTGTATGTCGTTATTAACAGCACGAAGCATACTTTGGAGGGTAAAACCAATGAGCTAACGATATCGGATTTGAAATCCTTATATTTTCCGGCGAACAACTATGTACAAAGAACGTAACCAATATATAAAACATGAAAATCAGACTTAAAAACATACTTTTATCGTAAACATGAAAATCAAACTAAAAAATAGACATAGTGTATGCTTTTAATGTTATCCACAACAAAGTTTCCAATGATCTTCTAGAGCCTACTTTTGTGCGTAAATATTTGTGGACGCTCTTACAAGTGTATCCATGATAAGAATCAGTGAAAACATCATCTATGCAAGAACTAACAATATCGCCCATATTGGATATGAACGCTACTTCCCTACCCTGTCCGAGAATTTCTTTTAACCTCATAAGGAACCAGGTACAACTTACAAGATTATTTTCAACCGCCATACCAAATGCTATAGGGAAAGTCAGATTGTTCCCATCTTTAGCAACCGCTAAAAACATTGTTTTTAGGTAGTCCCCTCTAAGACGAACACTACCTATGAAAATGGCAGGCAAGACACAATTTATGAATGCATGGACCTGTATTTTTAGAAGTACAAACCAATTAGTTTAAATGTATAAACATTATCAAATGTAAAGAAACAATAGAAATTTGAAAAAAAAATATACCATCCATCCAATAGCTAGGAAAAAGATTGGAAACGATCCATCAAATCCGTTTTGATGTGAGTGTGAGTATGCGGGTTGGTTTGCCTTAGGTTATGAAGGTAAACTTGTAAGTTGTTAAAACTTTGTTCACGATCAACGTCTGAGAAACTCATTTTGAATCATATATAAGAGACAATTACCAATTACTTAGTGTGCCTAAGGTTATGGAGGTAACAGTCTTAACACATGCGGACACATATGTATATAGGAGCTGGAAAGGAAAGGTCCATAATGTATTGTCTTTTCCAACAGTAGATTTGTCGTTTCAAACAATATCTCAATGTAAGGTACCTGGCATTTGGACTACTCTTTGACATTATTTGACTACGGTTTCATACACTTTGACTACTGTTTTGTAGTCTGCATAATGTATTGTCATTTCCAGCAGTAGATTTGTCGTTTCAAACAGTATCTCCGTGTAACGTATCTGATGATTAGACTACTATTTTACATTATTTGACTACGGTTTCATAGACTTTGACTACTGCTTTGTAGCCTGCATAATGTATTGTCATTTCCAACAGTAGATTTGTCGTTTCAAATAGTATCTCCGTGTAAGGTATCTGAAAATTGGACTACTCTTTGACATTATTTGACTACAGATTCATAGACTTTGACTACTGCTTTGTAGAATGCATAATGTATTGTCATTTCCAACAGTTGATTTGTTATTTCAAACAGTATCTCCATGTAAGGTATCTGATAATTGGACTACTCTTTGATATTATTTGACTACGGTTTCATAGACTTTCACTACTACTTTGTAGCCTGCATAATGTATTGTCATTTTGAACAGTAGATTTGTTGTTTCAAACAATATTTTCGTTTAAGGTATCTGATAATTGGACTACTCTTTGATATTATTTGACCACGATTTCATAGATTTTGACTACTGCTTTGTAGCCTACATAATGTAGCTTCAAACAGTACTTATGGGAATCCACCTAATTGTTTGTCTGTCTTTTTTCTTATTTAAGTACCCCTTTAAAATTAAACAAACTAACAAACAAATTTAAAAAATGGCCTCCAATTAAACAACTTCTTCCAATGCAGTTGCTCCGTCCAATACTCCACATCCATGGACAATAAGAGAGGTAATGGTGGTAATACGATGTTGGATGAACATTTACCAGGATGTAACAACCATGGTTAACCCTAATTTCTTTGAAGGTGATGAATGGACCCGCATAACAACTATGTTTAACCTCTCGTTGGGAGAAGGAAAACACCGAACACAAGCAGATATTGTTGGTAAGTTGATGGATTTAAAGGAAAAAATCACATGGTTCAATCGATGCTATCATCATCTTAAAAATAGTTATCGTTATCCAAACAACGATGAAGATCATTTAGAAATTGTTAAAGATCATTACATTTTGGAGCACGAGGAGTCTTGGATTCTAGTTAAAAATAACAAATATTTCATGTAGAATGCTCTTATATGTGAAATGTCTTATGTAATGTTTGCTACTGGCGTATCTCATTTTTTTATAATGTTTTATGTTTGTTTTTTATTTTTTAAGGAATAAATTAGATAATAAGTGAGGTACTAGATTTAATTAATAATGTCAGAAGTGTAGTTTAATATAAGCAATATAAATTACAAATATGGGAATTTATTGCTTTCCTACATTAATCTAAGGACAATTTAAATCAAATGTGCTGTCGAAATCAAAAGTACGGTACACGCTTTCGTTCTGTGACCCGCTTCCGGATGCCAATTCATCAGTCATTATGCCCTTTTGTGTAGATTTTTCCTTACCCCAGATCCGCTCCCTGATCCCCTACGCATACAATCGTTCATCGTGTGCCAAATTGATCGCATGTAGAATATTCTTGTTGTATGAGATGCTCACCTTGAGACTAAATACAATCAGTGTTTCTTGGCCTACCCGACTGACGTATCTCCATTATGGGTGGCTTCACAATCATCAAATCATCGGGGATCTCCCACTCAGATGGACTTGGTAAAGGGTTCACAGACTCCTCGTAAGTTTTCCTCAGTGTCTTTGTAAAGTAAGCTTTTAAAGCATATTCCGAACATTCTTCATAACGGTTCATTGTGAGCACTTTTATGATATGGCCACAAGGTAAGCCATCTATTTACCACCACCTACATGTACATGTTCTTTGTTGGAAATCAAGAATGACACTTTTGTGAGTAGAGCTTTTCACTTCAAATCTACTATTTGAGATAGGGTACACCATCCATTATTACAAGCATTCTTATTTGCCATTATAATCGTTTCAGCCCATGGGGCGAGTGTTGTTTTTGCTTCAACTAAAAAAGTAGACATAATTTCATAATATCATATGAGTAGTAAACTAACATTTCAAGTACTATTATATATAAAATATTAGTTCGTGCAACATTACGTTTCTGAAAACTCTATTGTTGCATGAAAATACTCAATCAACATCAATATTGTCATCTTTCTTGCAAATGTTGACATTGAATTTATCGACTCTGCACTATTTGATCTCATAAGAAAATACCGATTCCCAGGAAAATGTGCCCTAGCCCATCTTTCTGGATTGATGTTTTGTAGGTATTCCCATACACGATCATTTACCTTTTTAATTTTTTTCATCGCATTATCGAATTTTTTAATAGTATAGGCTTTGCATGTCTCCCAAAATAATGCGTGTATTGTATCACTACTTCCAAATTTTGCTAAAATGTTGAAATACAAAAGGATACCACATATTCCATGATGGGCGTGAGGAAATATATTTCCAATTGACGTCGCTATGGATGGAGCCCTATCAGATATGAATGTAAGGTCTTCCATGTTGCCTATACATTCACGTAGTTTTCGAA